TATAGGCATTGGCGGAAAGCCATATTGTTTTATTGTATGGCAAACATTTTTGATCTAATGATAAAAAGGGGGATCTTTATAAAGGGAAGATAACAGATAAATGGAATGGACAAAGGAAATTTCAAAAGTTCGATAAGTGCGGTTAAGTCTGAAGTGGTTTCCTCACTTAAATGACATAGTAAATCAGAAGGTTTTGCCACAAGGTCATAGGGAATACTACCTTGAAGTTATTTTGAACCATAATAACGAATCAGCTCATACATCGAAGCTTATGCGTGAGTTTTAATAAAAAACCGTTATCATGTCTCAATATATTTACCGACATTGTCATCGCCGATTTTTTCTTCTTCCCAAAATTGAAGACACCAATGAATGGAAAGCTTTTTGCTACGATTGCAGAGGGACTTGAGTAAACGAAAAAGAACCTATCGGCTTTACCAATATGCGCTGGCATTGTAACGACAGATTTCCCCTTCTGCGAAAGAGAAAAAAGACGAGTGTTGTTAAGTTTTATAATATTTATTCAGTACGACCTTTTTTATTATTTAATTCCTTCTCCAACTAATCCACTTTCTACTTAAAATAGAAGGTATAGGACCAAGCACACATATGTAGACACCGCCTAAAAATATCTATAATCACTCAAATTTTTTTATTCGATGATAAACTATAATTTCGTCCAGTTCGGAAGATAAAACACGTGGCGAAAACTTAACACAGCGCCATTGTAAGCCCGTATGCGTAATTAACTCCTTATTGCCAGCCGTCCGAAGACGAACTGCAGTAAAAAATTTATTTATACACGAAGAAAACTTAAGCTATTACTGATTACTATGGAATTGCCATCTGTCCGAGATTTGATTGGTAACGTAGTCGTCCTTCGAAGTGGAGACCTGGATAAGTGCTCCTGGTGGGGCAAATGCTGGGATACTAGGATTTGGAGACCTGGGTAAGTGCTCTCACAAGAGTTGGGATTCGGATTTTCCAAATAAATAGGTCTATTGGGGAATTATACTACGGGATACGCAAAGATTCTACTGCAAGGATACGAAATGAATCTACTGCGGGAGACCGTAAATAGTACTCAAGCAAGGATACCAAGGGATTATACTGCACGAGACGTTAATAAGCACAGTAACAAGGGTACGGATGGGGTTTACTGCACGAGACCCTAATAAGTACTCAAGCCTTAATAAGTACTCAAGCTAGGATAAGGAAGGATTCTACAGCAAGAGACCTTAATAAGTACTCAAGCAAGGATATGGACGGATTCTACTGCAAGAGACCTTAATAAGTACTCAAGCAAGGATACGGAAGGGTTTTACTGCAAGAGACCTTAATAAGTACTCAAGCAAGGACATGGAAGGATTATATTGCAAGACCTTAATAAGTACTCAAGCAAGGAAATGGACGGACTCTACTGCAAAAGACGTTAATTAGTACTCTAACAAGGATACGGAAGGGTTTTACTGCAAGAGACCTTAATAAGTACTCAAGCAAGGATATGGAAGGATTCTACTGCAAGAGACCTTAATAAGTACTCAAGCAAGGATATGGACGGATTCTACTGCAAGAGACGTTAATTTGTACTCTAACAATGATACGGAAGGGTTTTACTGCAAGAGACCCTAATAAGTACTCAAGCAAGGATATGGAAGGATTCTACGGCAAGAGACCTTAATAAGTACTCAAGAAAGGATATGGACGAATTCTACTGTAAGAGACGTTAAAAAGTACTCTAACAAGGATACGGAAGGGTTTCACTGCACGAGACCTTAATAAGTACTCAAGCAATGATATGGAAAGATTCTACAGCAAGAGACCTTAGTAAGTACTCAAGCAAGGATACGAAAGGATTCTACTGCACGAGACCTTAATAAGTACTCTAACAAGTACACGGAAGAGTTCTACTGCAAGAGACCCGAATAAGTATTCAAGCAAGGATATGGAAGGATTCTACAGCAAGAGACCTTAATAAGTACTCAAGCAAGGATATAGACGGATTCTAATACTACTCTAACAAGGATACGGAAGGGTTTTACTGCAAGAGACCTTAATAAGTACTCAAGCAAGGATATGGAAGGATTCTACTGCAAGAGACCTTAATAAGTACTCAAGCAAGGATACGGAAGGATTCTAATGCACGAGACCTTAATAAGTACTCAAGCAAGGATATAGACGGATTGTACTGCAAGAGATGCTAATACGTACTCAAACAAGGATATGGACGGATTCTACTGCAAGAGACCTTAATAAGTACTCAAGCAAGGATACGAAAGAATTCTACTGCAAAAGGCCTAATAAGTAATCAAGCAAGGATTCCCAAGGATTCTACTGCACGAGACCTTAATAAGTACTCAAGCAAAGGCACGAAATGAATCTACTGCAGGAGACCGTAATAAGTACTCAAGCAAGGATACCAAAGGATTCTACTGCAAGAGACCTTAATAAGTACTCAAGCAAGGTTATGAAAGGATTCTACTGCAAGAGACCTTAATAAGTACTCAAGCAAGGATATGGACGGATTCTTCTGCAAGAGACGTTAATTAGTACTATAATAAGGATACTGAAGGGTTTTACTGCAAGAGACCTTAATAAGTACTCAAGCAAGGATATGGAAGGATTCTACTGCAAGAGACCTTTATAAGTACTCAAGCAAGGATATGGACGGATTCTACTGTAAGAGACGTTAAAAAGTACTCTAACAAGGATACGGAAGGATTCTACTGCAAGAGACCTTAATAAGTACTCAAGCAAGGATATGGACGGATTCTACTGCAAGAGACTATAAAAAGTACTCTAACAGGGATAAGAACGGATTCTACCGCAAGAGACCTTAATAAGTATTCAAGCAAGAATACGGAAGGATTATACTACAATATACCTTAATAAGTACTCATGCAAGGATACGGAAGGATTCTACTGCAAGAGACCTTAATAAGTACTCAAGCAAGGATACGGAAGGATTCTAATGCACGAGACCTTAATAAGCACTCAAGCAAGGATATGGAAAGATTTTACTGCACGAGACCTTAATAAGTACTCCAGCAAGGATACGAAATGATTCTACTGCACTAGACCTTAATAAGTACTCAAGCAAGGATACGGAAGAATTCTACTGCAAGAGACCTTAATAAGTACTCAAGCAAGGATACGGAAGGATTCTAATGCACGAGACCTTAATAAGTACTCAAGCAAGGATATGGAAGGATTCTACTACAAGAGACATTAATAAGTACTTAAGCAAGGATGCGGAAGGATTCTAATGCACGAGACCTTAATAAGTACTCAAGCAAGGATATGGAAGGATTCTACTGCAAGAGACCTTAATAAGTACTCAAGCAACGATATGGAAGGATTCTATTGAAAGAGACCTTAATAAGTACTCAAGCAAGGATACAGGGTTCTACTCAGCAAGGATACGAAAGAATTATACTGCAAGAGTCCTTAATAAGTACTATATAAGGATACCATGGCAAGGATTCGAAAGGATTCTACTGCAAAAGACCTACATAAGTAGTTGAGCAAGGATACGGAAGGATTCTACTGCAAGAGACCGAGATAAGTACTTTAGTAAGGATTCTACTAAATCAAGGATATGGAAAGATTTCTTTGGGTCCCTGAATAAGTACCCAAGGACGGTTATTAGAATTTTTTCAATGTGTAACTCACCTGAGCTGAATGTGTCTTCTTTCGTGATCTGGCACTGACTGTCCCTTTTTACTCGTTGATCTCCCTTTTATAGCAAGCCCAACCACGTGCTCTAGAGTGGGATAACGGGAACTAATTTCGATCAACTTGTCACAACAACATTGCCTGTGATCATCACAACCAGAGGTTGTGAAAAGTTGTTTGAAAAACGGGGTTACCGTATTTGATAAGTTATTAAAATAAGTTTTATTTATTAAGAAGTAGGAGAACACATTGTGTGGGCAAAATTGAGTTCAACGTTTTTGGTCGTGTTAGTAATCCCCGATTTTATATGAAGGGGATTACTTGGAAAGGGTTATTTATAAATAAATAAATAATTGTTGAAAATAAATTTAAATTTGTGGTTTCCTTCCAAAACCAACTCCTTATGTGGACTTCCGAAACCAACTTCTTATGTGGACCCTACTTCTCAACCTTGATCCGTATTTCAAATTTCAACTTGTTAGCTCTATACGTTCACCTTCTACGAAATTTTAAAAAATTTAGTACATTTTAGTACTTTTCAGATTCTTATTATTCGAATTTCCAAAAATCATTTGGTGCATCTATCCTACACTCCATCGATGACCCTCAATCCAAATTTCAGAGTACTAGCTCTACTGATCGGTACCATATTTTGTAATTTTTAGATATTAGTGTTAGTACGAATTTACAAAACCCCAGCCTTATCTAATACCTTTGGAATAAGAAAGACCACAAATTTCAAGATTATAGATTCAGGCGTTTCGTCTGGGCGCCGGTCAGTCAATCACTTTAAACTTTAATTTATATAGATTGACCCTTTGTAGGGTAGGTATCAGAAGGAGGGTTCCGACGAGTCGTATATTCGGACTTATACAAATCGGGTAGTCCGAACTTTGTATTCGCCTGATTTTATAAAATAATTTTGAGGACAATTTTGAACATTAAACTAAGTTTGGAAGAAATATTACGATGTGCAATGTTTGGATGAAATAGGTTATTCCGTTCGAGAGTTATAACATTTGTAAATCAACTTCAAATTGTTTGAAACGGATTTGGTCCAAAGAAGCATTGGGTATAAAACCAATATTTCGATGAGACACATTTTTGCCGTATCAAAGTGTATATACCCTCATTAGCCATAAGGCTGAGTTTATAATGAATGCGATGAATTTTCTTATTTCTACGGAATACCATACCATACCAGCTATAACAAATAATTTATTATGTGATAACGGTTGTTCTAATGATCTTGAAATGGTAAAGCTATCCGCTTATTTATTAACGGGCACATGATAATAGAATCTTTATAAATTGTAAAATAAAAATTAAATAAAATGTATGCACTTACCTAAAACTTCAGCATTTACCACAATATTACAGCTATACATGGGACTGACTAAACGTTGAGGTTGATTCTGGAATGCCATGCGACAAACTTCCTTCGATGCAGTCAATACTTGACCTAAAATAAAAAAAATATTTAATACAATCGCATCACATATTTAGTAAAGAATGAAATAATATATCTACCCGAAAATGGTCCATAAGCCTTGGAATTCAAATCGTCACTGGTATCAACCGACCATTCGAGAACCATAAAACATACACCCTGTATTGGTTCTTCGCATAATGGTCCAGCTGATGTGGACAATTGAAAACCATTTACAAAAGAGCTGTTATAATCGCGACGAACATCTGAACACTCTTCCGAAGTTTTTGCTATAACATTCCAAATAGATGGATGTTCATAATCACTTAAGTTTAGTAAAATATTTGTCCCACAATGATGAGGACCGAAAGACCAAATACGTTCGACTAATTGTTCCGTAGTCAAATTAGTTAGTCCTTTTGCATCGAATTCTTTTAAACCGGTCACAAGTTGTGTTTTAATTTGTTGTAATAATTGTTTATGCTTCTCTGAGGAGTTCAATGATTTAGTTGCCGATAATTCTTTGAAGAATGTATGATATTTTTCCAAAATATCAATTACAGTTTGTGGAAGAGGTAATGCGATAACACGCAATGTGGATAATTTATTCAGCGTTTGTATTGTGGCAATTTTCTTGGTGACGTCTTTATCTTCCGAAGTCTTTACAATTGCTTCATTGACCATATCTACAGTAGCTTCAGGCACAATAGTCTCACGGAATGATACAATTGGTTTAGAGACATTTACTTTGATTTTGGCATAATTTTCCTCTAAGTCATGTACACATTTCTCTACATGTACTTCTCCCAGAGTGGCAATAACATGTTCGCCAGTCGGCTCTACCGATACCTGAACACACGCATCTGCCTGATTGAGTAATTTAAGGCCTTTAACTAGTTTCCGTATATCCGAGGGATTTACAGGTTCTATGGCAACACGGAAAATTGGTGTAGCCATAATGCTCAGTTCGCTAAATGAGGTGCAGTACATGGTGTTGCTTAAAGTACCCGACTTGACAATATCTTTTTCGAGACCACCAATGCCAACAATGTTCCCCGCAGGAACTTCATCTAAGGATTGTAATTCACCACCCATAAATAGATATAAATCTCCAATTGTTACTTCGCTGACATGGGGTGAGTCCAGGGAAAGGGAGCTTTAAGAATAAAATATATTTTAATAGACAGATTTTAGAATTTCTTTAATGACGAAACTTACTCTTCTTTTCGTGGATCATGTTTGGGTGCCAAATTATACAACTTCATGCCTTTCCTTAAGGTTCCACTAAAGATACGTGCAAAGGCAATAAAAACAAATTCTTGTTTTTCCTCTTCTAGCTTTTCTTCTTCCAGTCTTTTCTCCTCCTCCGCCTTGTCAGCTTCTTGTTGTGCTATTTTCTTTTCTTCCGTAGTCATTTGTTCAACACCGGTGGTTATATTTTCGACCGATTCTTGTTGAGCTGCGGCCAATTGTTTCCGCTCTTCAATACGTTTACGGACTTCATCGCGTCGCGTTTGTAATTCTTGTTCGGTCAATCGTTTCGGTTTATTTTGTGGTAAACTTTGTACATGAACCGGTGTCATTTTCGATACGAAAACAATGATATTTTCAGAATCTGATTTACATTGTTTTAAATCTTCTTTAAGAGCCAATGATTCTGGAGGATAAGTGCTTATATCGGCATTTTCGGGATATAGCAAGCGTTGAGCACGTTCATCACTGATTGTGTTGGGTGGTGGTACATGCTTAACAACCATTTCTAAAATGGTGCGATCAATTGGCAGCCATTGTCCTAAAACGGTTTTAATTTGTGCCTTTGGATCAGCCAGACGTAAATCGCGGGCCTGCAATTTAATACCCAGCTTTTCGGCAATTACTGAAATGAGAAAATAATAAAATTAAAATGGGGTTAATATTGTTCTAAATACACATATCTATACTAAAATTTTATATTGAAAGCTTCCACGATTAAAAAAATGCAAAATTGAAGGAATTTAATTTTACCAAAATACCGAGTTAAAATGGATATTATCGGACAAGCATGTCCACAGGTCAATATTCCAATTTCAGATATTTATTCTCAAACAAGTACAATTCATGGGTATCAATGGAAATCTCATTACGTGGGCTTTCGTGTGAATTTGTAGTATAAAAAACGCGCGTTCTATGAAAATTAACGAATAATTAAAAATGTATAAATCGAACATATAAAAACGAATGCAACCGAGAAAATAAATGTGAAATTAATCAAAAACTTTTGAAAATTACATTTAAGGAAGTAAAATGCTAAGGTTGCTATGCCAGTGTGAAACATATTCTGAGTTGATGGTTATTACCAAGGATATTATTTAGACAGATTATTACCGGAACAAGTCAACACAATTTTACAGGTGGATCATGTTCCAGGGTGTGGCCGTCCATAAAATGTACCAATGACTTGCGACGCAATTTTGTAGAGATGTATAGGCAACATTTTAATGGACAGGGGACAATAACATAATATGGATAACCTTGGATAGTTTTCGGTTTCGTAAATACTCAATTTTTTAAACTTTAGATTCCTTCGCCAAAGTTAACTTTGGATATTCCAAATTTACATGTTGCCTGTTACAAGTCCATTTCCAGCATATAAGGAAGGGAAAGGAAGAAGATGTTCTTAATTGAACACAAGCAGAATTTTCTTAAATTTAAAATTGATTTCTATGTCAAATTCCTCTGTAATTTGTCCGCCTTTTCTCTGTAATTAGTCCGCCTTTTGGGGAGTTTAAAACTTCTACCTATGACAAATCGAAGGAATAAATAGCTTCTGGGGAGAATATCCCAACAAGAAACTATGGGAACTGATGAGGATCAGTATAGTTTCTTTCTATATATGAAACGCGTCTAATTTAGGTCCCCTCTTGGATCGTTTTGAGTTTTTTTACCACATGTAACCGGTATTTTAGGTGGCAATTTCGGCTAAGCGACATACCCTCTTTTTAATTAGAATAGTATCTGTGGATAGCTGGCCTTCGGCCTGTTCCTTTTAATTAGAACAGTGTTTGTGGATAGACAGCCTTCGGCCAGTGATTTAAGACTTTCCTCAGGGACAGATGGTAATCCATATATCGGAATGTTCACTTTGATACGGGAAAAATGTGCCTCGTCGAAATATTTGTTTTAGACTCCATCTTTCTTTGGACGAAATCCGTTTAATACAGTTTGAAGCCGATTTACAAATGTCTGTCCGTCCCTTTGTCTGTCTGTTGTTGTTGTAGCAGCCCTATTGCTTTTACACAATGGACTGAGCTGACAGACATTGGCCGCGTCGTTTCGGATTGTAGACCCCTCTGTCGTGGAAACAGTTTGACTTAGTTCAAGGTCGAAAATGGGGAATATCGGTCCACTCTTTCTGGTACTCCCTCCATATAATAGTCAAGTATTATCATGCGAACGGACTATCCGATTTGAACCAAACTTTGTACAACCTATGGTCTCTACCAAGCCTAGATCAAATTCGAAGATGAGACGAATTGGTCCACTCATTCAGGCACTTCCCCACAACATTTTCAAAAAGTTTATTTTGTAATATCATGCGAACGGACTATCCGATTTGAACCAAACTTTGTAAAATCTATTAATTTACCAAGCGCAGTTGAATCTGACAACTTGGTCCACTCCTTCTGGAACCTCTCCCAAAAAGGGCCAACATCTTCAATATTTATAAATGCAATATTAGGCGATTCTATTATCTTTACAAAACCTAGATCAAGTCCTCCCCCAGAAAGGATCAATATTTTATAAACTTGTAAAATTTATTAAATTGAAGCAAATTGAATAAAATCATAAAACTCTTTGGTAAAAACATACTTTCGGTAAAGCGAATAATAAAACCTGTGCGTAATTCCGAAGACCTCCGCAAACCATAGGCTGGAAGTATTTATCTGTCGGCAACACCGGCTAACACTTTTTTTCCTGTTTTTTAATCAGGAGTTCAAACGCTCTAAATTTGTACCAAAGGAAAATGTATACCGTTGTTATCAGGCCCCAAGAGGTAGATGCGGTAAAAATTTTGAAACGGGGGGGCTTTAAACTAGACATAAAACAAAAATGTATATAGTTTTTTTTTAATTTGTAACCCAATTTCACAGGTTAATCCCGGTTATTTGACCCATTTAAACCAAAATATATCGGAAGTTCGATCAGATTTTTCTGAAATTTTTTCCACGGGGATATCTTTTTTTCTTAGGGGACGTACCCGGTTATATCCGGTACTACGGATCCGGTTAATATAATATGGGTATCATTTTAAAAGTTATAAAAATACCTTTCCATTGAGTGGTAATATGATGGGGTTATCTCAGATATAGTCAAAAAATGGGTTTTGGTCCCCAATTTTTTTGAAAAACTCTCTAAAAGTCGAACTTGGGTCCATTATAGTCCCCCTACAACCCAGATTCAAATGATAGACCACAATTTGCCCATTTCAAAATGGTGCGATATGTGGCTGTATCTGGATCAAAAGATATGGGCCTTAGAACCCTACAAAAACGGCTGTCGCATAGCCGGTGTGGGTATCTGTCCATAGGAGAAAGTCTTAAATTCCCGGCCGAAGGCCGGCTACACAAAAAAATATTCTATTTAGAAGGAGTTTCTGTCGCGTAGCCGGTGTTGGCATTTATCTATAGGAGAAAGTCTTAAATCCCGATATGTGGCTGTATCTGGATCAAAAGATATGGGCCTTAGAACCCTACAAAAACGGCTGTCGCATAGCCGGTGTGGGTATCTGTCCATAGGAGAAAGTCGTAAAATTCCCGGCCGAAGGCCGGCTACACAAAAAAATATTCTATTTAGAAGGAGTTTCTGTCGCGTAGCCGGTGTTAGCATTTATCTATAGGAGAAAGTCTTAAATCCCCGGCCGAAGGCCGGTCATTAAGAAAAATATTCCATTTAACAAGAGATTCAGTCGCGTAGCCGGTGCTGGTATCTGTCCATAGGAGAAAGTCTTAAATCCCCGGCCGAAGGTCGTCTACACAAAAAATATTCTATTTAGGAGGTTCTGTCGCGTAGCCGGCGTTGGCATCTGTCCATAGGAGAAAGTGGTAAATCCCCGGCCAAAGGCCGGTCACCCAAAAAACACCATGCAATTTAAAAGAAGATTCTGTCATGTAGAAAGATTTTCCTTGTTTTTATAGGGTTCTAAGGCCCATAACTTTTGATCCACAAGAGATACAGCCACATATCGCACCAATTTAGAAAGGGCAAATTGTGGTCTATCATTTGAGACTGGGTTGGAGGGGGACTATAATGGACCCAAACTCGACTTTTAGGGAGTTTTTCAAAAAAATCGGGGGTCAAAACCCAGTCAATGACAAGGTAAAGGTATAACCTTTAAAATGATACCCATTTTATATTAACCGGATCCGTAGAACCGGATATAACCGGGTACCCGTGCCCGAACTTCCGGGTCAAATAACCGGGTAACCGGGTACGTCCCCCAAGAAAAAAGGTATCCCCATAATTAGGGTAAAAATACTTTCCTCTGGAAAAAATTTCAATTTCAAAAATAGTTTTTACTAAACTAGAGTTGTTCCAATATATCTCATTTTTAGATATTTAGAAAATTTTTAAAAATTTTTTCACTCACTTGGGATTTTCTCCTTATCCTTTCTCACAGCAATGATGTCATATAAACTCCAAATATTCTCCAAAATGAATTGTACAAACATAGGCTTTTTGGCCTTTTCCTGGGCACCGGGTGCAGCACATTTTTTCTTGGCATTATAGTAGTAATCACCCCATAACACCTGTTCCAAATCATTTGCCGACATTTCCAAACGTTCCGCATAGGTGACAGCAAAATCTCGTACACTAAATGCCCAACCATCGTAGGCAGAACAAAATACAACATTACCAGCAGCCGGATTGAAATACAACATTGAATCATCACTATCCTCTAAAGCCGATTCATAATTGTCTTTATGACTAATATCCTCCTTGGCCAATACATCCGAAGCGAATATGCTACCCAACACGGCATTAACTTGTTCCAGAACTTGCATGATGTGAAAATATGCATCCAATGGGGTCATTTGTTTTTCCAAAATTAAACGATCGATTTTGTTCAGTACCAATACCGGCTTCAATTGTTCAACATAGACCTGTTGCAAACAGGCACGAGTCTGTGGGCAAACACCTTCCACAACATCGACTACAACAATTGCACCATCACACAAACGTACCGCCGTAGAAACTTCACTGGAAAAATCCACATGGCCCGGCGAGTCAATTAGATTTATAAGAAAATCCCTTTGATTTCCCAAACTTTGGTAGTACAACGAAATGCTGCTACTTTTCATGGTTATACCACGTTCCTGTTCATCTTGACGATTGTCCAGATAGCGCAGCTTCCCAGCCATACGTTGAGATATAATGCCATTGCTGGCCACCAAGGAATCAGCTAGAGTTGTCTTGCCATGATCAACATGGGCCAGAATGCAAATATTTCGCACAAGTTCGATATTCTTTTGTAATTTTACCAAATCGGACAGATCGACAACGGGCATTTTGCAATGATTTTTCAAACAAACAGCGATAAGAAAAAGAAAACACTTAAAATATTGGGTTTATAATAAATATGTATCACGCACGAAACCGGTACACCACGGGTTCTTAATACTGGACAGCGCGGATAAACTTTGCGAAAACAAAACAAAACCGTATGCACGTTAAGACCAAAAAAACGTGTTGAATGTTTTTGTTGATGTTGTGAAATTTGCAAACATTCACAATGACATGTAAACATAGAACGCTGAGTTATGAAATTCAAACAGCTGATTCGGGCATTCACAATAGGAACGGGGTAAATAACGACGTCCAATAAGAACGGTTCTTATTTAAGATTATTTTTGAATACATTTTGTGTGTGAGTTTCAGTGTTTTAAAATGAAAACAATTGTACTGTATCACATGAGGGTATAAAGGTGTACAGTACCAATTTTTCTAAGTTAATTTACGCTGAGGGTATATTGGTCCTAGATCAAACTTTCGACAAACTGTGATGGTCTAGTTATATGTATACGTCCGTCTATCATTACGATTTTTAAACAAAATACAGACCGCAGTTTTCGACCATCGATACGAAATTTAGCATGTATGTACGTTTCTATCCAAGAATGACACCTATATTTATACACTTATGGGGCTATATACACTTTGATACGACGAAAACGTGCGTCCATGGTATAATAATAGAAGGTAACAGCAAGTGTTGTTGTACAACAAACGATACAACAACCACATGGAAATTTGTTTTTGTAAGTTATACTAGTGTCAACGTCGTTTGACAGAAAAATGTAAACAAACAAATAAATTATATTTATTTTGAAAATAAAATATTTTCGAATCCTCAAAATAAATTTTGAAAAAATTAAATGAAAATCTATCAAATTCATATTTCTATCGCTTCCACAACTTTCCTATAATTGATCTATTGCCACTTATATGTGTAACACATATGAAAATGCAGGGAATTGCGAGTTATTCAATGAACAAGGATTTGCTTCCTCAAACTTCCCAACAGGCATATTGAGTAAAATGAATTCGTGAGGACATTTAATAAAGAACAATTTCGAATTGTATGCGTTCCCAATTTTCCTGTTGGGTGATTTTTAAAAACATAATTTGTCAAATTCATATTGACACTAGTATTACGTTGGAATCAAATCAGCTGGGACTTGCTGTTACCTTTTATAATTGTACCATGACGTGCGTCGTAGAAATAGTAATTAGACACCATGATTCTTTGGACATAATCCGTTTCGGAAAATTTGGAGTCGATTTACTAAAGTCCATCCGTCTGTCTGGCCGGCTGGTACCTACGATAACTCTCGAAGGAAGTAACCGATTTCATCCAAACTTTGCATATCGTAAAATTTCATCATCGAAGATGGGGAATATCGGTCCATTCCTTCTGACACCACCACAACACCAGCCCAAGCCTAGAATAAGTCCAAAGATGAGACCCATTGGTCCACTCCTTCTGGTACCTGCCCCACAAATGGTCAACATTTTCAATATTTATGAATCCAATATTCGGCGAATGATATGTCCGATTTGAACCAAACTTTGCACAAGCTATTATCTTTACCTAAGGTGAGACCCATTTATCCACTTCTTCTAGTGGTGGTCAATATTTTCCATTTATACTATATTTATAAAAGAGTAGTGATTGATTAAACGATTCATCAATGCCCCGACGAAACGGCTGAACCTAGAACCTTGAAATTTTGGGTCACTCATAGTCCCAAGGTGTCAGATAAGGCTGTGTTTTGGGAAATTCGTACTAGAACGAAAGGAAAAGTACAAAATAGGTGTAAATATGTTACCATTTGTATTTGGCGAACCGGTGGAGCTGGAACTCTGAAATTTGGATTGGGAGTCATTGATGGACGGTAGATAGATGCACCAAAAGGTTTTTCTACTAAAATGTACTACATTTTGTACAATTTCGTAGCATGTGAACGAAAAGAGCTAAAAATTGAAATTTGGAATGCAAATCAATATTCCAGAACCTAAAAGAATTCACTCATTTTTTGCTACTTTTTACTCGAAAGCAGTTCCCGAACCCACAAAACTGGTAAAACATTGAATCAAATTTAAGAGAGCACAAAACAAAATGGCGTTCTCTTTGTAAACTTTTTACTAGAAAAATTTGTCCGAGTAAAAATGGTAAACAGGAATGCTAACTTCTGATTGGTTGTTATGTTTATTTTGAAATATTGCCATCTAATTTTGGCATATTTTCTAGATTTGCGTTCCTGAACTTTTCAAAATCTTTGTACTCTGGAGAGCTTTTTTGAAATGTTTCCCTTTTACTAGCTTTACTACCAAAAAAGTACTGGAACAGACCATATGTATGTTCTTCTGCCATAATAAATTATTTTTGTCGGTTTTTCACTGGTTGATCTCATGGTACTATTATAAAAGGTAACAGCAAATCCCAGCTGATTTGATTCCAACGTAATACTAGTGTCAATATAAATTTGACAAATTATGTTTTTAAAAATCACCCAACAGGAAAATTGGGAACGCATACAATTTGAAATTGTTCTTTATTAATGTGCTCCCGTATTCAATTTACTCAATCTGCCTGCTGGGAAAGTTTGAGGAAGCAAATCTTTCTTGAAGGAATTACTCGCTATTCCCAGCATTGTCATATGTGTTACACATATATATGGCAATGGCTCAATTAAAGGAAAGATGTGGAAGCGATAGAAATATAAATTTGATAGATTTTCATTCATTTTTTTCAATTTTTATTTTGAGGATTCGAAAATATTCCATTTTCAAAATAAAAATAATTTGATGATAATTTGTTTGTTTGTTTACATTTTTCTGTCAAATGAGTTGACACTAGTAGAACTTACAACAACAAATTTCCATGTGGTTGTTGTATCGTTTTTTGTACAACAACACTTGCTGTTACCTTTTATTATTATACCATGGGTTGATCTAGAGGCCACAATTATGTTACGAACATCAAGATATTTAATACGGGAAGGCCTGGCTATCGATGATTCGTAGTGTATGTTTTTTAACATTTTAATTATTAATAACATTTAAATTTTTTATTAAATTAACTTTTTTAACGAATTTTAAAAAATATTTAACGTTAAAAATAATTTAGACGAACATATGGCGAACATATGTTCCATGCCACACGTCAAACTTAAAGGAGCCATTTCAAAATGAACCTTTCTCTATTCATGTCAATATGACATTTTACTCACTGCTGTCATAACACTCATCGAATATTTGTCCACGTTTTCGAAAGTTGCATCGGTTCGGTTTCCATAGATTTTGTTTTGTGACTCCTGGCATTTTTTGCTTTAATTGTTGACCAAAATGACGACACTAAGTCCAGAGGAGAAGAAAACCCTGATTACCCGTAATCTTCAAGAAGTCTTGGGTGAAGATAAACTCAATACGATATTGAAGGAACGCGACTTGAAAATATACTGGGGCACAGCCACTACCGGTAAACCCCATGTAGCCTATTTTGTGCCGATGTCAAAGATTGCCGACTTCTTGAAAGCAGGATGTGAAGTGAGTCTATAATAAAAATAAAAGTTTTGTTTTGTAAAGCGACGTATCGTGGACACAGTGATGGGTGGTTTACTGGGTATAGTAAATTACCTATTTAATCAGATTTTTTGATACGTGTGCGAGATCCTGGCTATAGCCTTTACCCTTTTAAATGGCATTAGAGATGATCCTGGTCACATTTGTGTAGCTTTTTCCATTCTCAATAAAAGAAAGCTATTTGTTTATAATTTTTAATGAAAACAAATATAATTGTATAAACATGAGTCATAAACATTTTTAGAAAGGTAAGAAACTATGTATGTTAACAAGGCTTAAAAACATGGGAATGTGAAGTTTGTCTATTATCAGAAAGAAAGGATTCCGCAAACAATATATACATATTTATTTTTAATCAGAGGTACCGGACCCATGACATGTTACATTAAACCATTTCGGGGATTACATCAAGAAAGATTTCAAGCATCGAAATTTGTTATTCGAAATAGTAGTTAAAAAAGGAACCATTATAGAGCCTCACGTGTATGCGATCAGAATACATCTTTTTATTTGATGTGTTTCCATTTCAGTTCTATTTACTCTTTCTTTTATTTTAGGTCACAATTCTTTTTGCCGATTTGCATGCCTACTTGGATAACATGAAGGCACCATGGTCTTTGTTGGAATTGCGTACAAAGTACTATGAAGCTGTTATCAAGGCTATGTTGTCCTCTATTGGAGTGCCTTTGGAAAAACTAAAGTTCGTTAAGGGAACCGACTATCAACTTTCGAAAGAATATACCCTTGATGTGTACAGACTATCGTCGGTGGTGACTCAACACGATGCTAAAAAAGCCGGTGCTGAAGTTGTCAAACAAATCGAATATCCATTGTTGTCGGGTCTCCTTTATCCCGGTCTTCAGGCTTTGGATGAAGAATACCTTAAGGTTGATGCTCAATTCGGTGGTGTCGATCAACGGAAAATCTTTACATTCTCAGAAAAATACTTGCCCCAGTTGGGTTATGAAAAACGTATACATTTCATGAATCCTATGGTACCCGGTTTGGCTGGTGGCAAAATGTCATCGTCCGAAGAAGATTCTAAAATCGATTTACTCGATTCACCCGCTAATGTTAAGAAGAAGTTGAAGAAGGCTTTCTGTGAACCTGGCAATATCACCGACAATGGTCTGTTGTCATTTGTGAAACATGTTTTGTTCTCTTTGTTCAAAGAAGGTGAAGGCTTCGAAATCAATCGTTCCGAAGAGAATGGTGGTGATATTACATTCAATAATTATGCCGACTTGGAGCAATACTTTGCCGATAATAAATTGCATCCAGCTGATCTTAAGGCTACCGTTGAAAAATATATCAACAAATTGTTGGAACCTATTCGCAAGGAATTCGAATCACCAGAACTTCAGTAAGTTAAAATTTCTGCTTAGAGAAGAGGGAATTGATATTTATTTCGTTTTAACTAGGAAATTGAGTGCTGCCGCATACCCTCCACCCACTAAAACCAAGGGTGGTAATGCCGCCAATGCTGCTGCACCTGAAGAAGATGGTCCCCATCGTTTGGACATTCGTGTGGGTAAAGTTATTGAAGTTCAACGTCATCCTGATGCTGATACTTTATATGTCTTGAAAATTGATTTGGCTGAAGAACAACCACGTACCATCATCAGTGGCTTAGTTAAATTTGTTACCGTTGAAGAACTCGATCAACGTTTGGTAGCTGTCTTGTGTAATTTGAAGCCTTCCAAAATGCGTGGTATCTTGTCTGAGGGCATGGTTTTGTGTACATCAAAGTGAGTTTAGTAGATTTCATTTAGTTTGTAAATTATAAATCACAGTGATAACATATTTGTTGTTTCCAGTGCGGATCATACTGTTGTGGAACCCATCATTGTCCCAGCCACAGCTGCACCCGGCAGTCGTTTAGCATTTGAGGGCTTCAGTGGTAAACCTGATGAACAATTAAATCCCAAAAAGAAGGTGTGGGAAAAACTATCTGTGGACTTTAAAACCAACAATGACGGTTTAGCTGTATGGAAGGATAATTTCCTTTTGACTCCCGAGGGAGAAAAATTATCAAGCAAATTAGCCAATTGTTGCATTAAATAAATCACATGTTCCCTTTGTTATGATCAACTCCCAATGGCATTGGCATTTACTTTATGTTCTTATTTATTTTTACTTTTGATTTTTTACAATTTTATACAATATCGTTTTAAGCTTAACAGTTACACAAAACCCCTATTCATTAAAAAATAAAAGATAATGCTTCTGTGAAAATTCACGTCTTTTGGAAAACAGAATACTATCTTGTTTTGTGAGGACATATTAGAACATAATAATTTTTTATTCACACATTAACAATATGAACAACCTAGAGAAACTAATTTACTAGACAGTTACTTTTCGTTTCTCTGGTGATTTTTCACAATAAGCCATGGCATCTGCAAGTCGTTCCAATACCACTTTCTTACCCAAAATTTCCATCATTTCAGCCACACCAGGTCCTTCCTGTGAAAGTAAAAAAAAAAATGGAAGTTATCTTTTTTATTTATTAGTATTAGAAATTAACTTACTTTCAAACCACTTAAAGCAGATCTTAAAGATTTCATAAGTATAGGAAATTTGATACCATTTTGTTTGCTATAATCCTTTAGGACAGTATTTAAGTGATCCTTTGCAAAATCTTCCTTTCTAAGAGTATCCAATAGTTTGTTCTGTTGTTCTGAAAGGGAAATCAAATTTGTTCTTTTCTTAAGATACTTGCTTCAAGTTCCTATCCTATATCTTTACCTTTACTGATAACATCGAGTTGAAAATTTGCCGGCTTCACCCAGAGGAAACTCAATTTTGGCGAGGTCAAATCTTTTATAAATGTTAATCGTTTTGATGACCAATGGAGGATATTGCGAATATGTGCTGTATTAAGATCGAGATTTTTTCTACAAAAATGTAAATAAAAATAACGATATAGAATTATTTTGGGGTCAGAATTTTATAATTAGGATTTATTGGGTTTTCTCGGAATGGGGCCTGATATAGGTGGTTAGAAGGACTGTACTACTGTAATATATAATTAATTGTAATTTAAATTACAAGTTAAAAAAAAATAGAAAGTTTCTTCATACTCCATATAAAAATAAAATCACCGATTTCAGTTACTTTGAATATCCACCTCTTGGTGGAGGGTATACAAAATGTGTGTTTTTACTTTTTATATTTTTAATAAATAAATAGTCCAAATATGGAATCCAATAAGTCTATTATGCGTAGTCAACCATCTATATAAGGAAGAACGTCTGTATACCATTTCTTTATATGTCTTCGATACGAATATTGCTTCATAATTCCTCATATATTCCTCAAATTCGTCATATATGTAGAATTAGTCATATATTGATATTCTATACATAGAAGAACTTCTATTGAAAGAAATAACCTAGAAGAACTTCATTGAAAACTATTTAAGACATGTATATAATATCTTCTATACATATAAGGCTCTCTCACGTATGCTTGTGACAAAGAAATCCCCTCTGAGCCACCATATTACATTAATGTTCTGTAAGTAGAAAATACAGTTTTAGATGTTATACTCACTCCGAAGGATATGTAGTTTGCACCAAATTTTGTACCATTTTCACCAAGTCATTTGCCGAGTCTTCAGACTTTAGCAATTCTTCGATTTGTAAACGATTAAATTCATCAAGAAGTTCAGGATTTAGACGGCTTGGGTGAGAATTGACTTTTTCAATGTCGAACTAAATTTAATGACATTTGTTAATATCTCGAGAAGAACAACAAAAAAACCAATTCCACTTACCATTTCCGAAAGTTCTGATAATGTATAAACTTTTGGTTTCGAAAATTGTTCATGAGGAAAACCACCACCAGCTGAGACAACATAATTTAACAAGGCTATTGGAAAGTAGCCTTTATCTCTGTAAGATAAATTAAATAAAAAACAATATAATTTAAAATTATTTTTATTTATTTTTTACCCAATTAATTAATATCCAAAACCATTGTGTAATTACCTGAAATTTTGAATACCTATATCACCTTGGCGTTTACTTAATTTAGTCCCGTCTACATTAACCAGAAGTGGTAAATGACCAAATTCTGGTGGTTGCCAACCAAAGGCTCTGAAATAATAAGTTTTTCAAATAAATCCAATTATGAACTACATCACCTGGACCACTTTCTTACCTATACAAAAGTAAATGTTTTGTTGTCGATATTTGCCATTCAACACCACGAAAGACATGTGAGATTTTCATTAGATGATCATCGACAACATTGGCAAAGTGGTAGGTTGGGAATTGATCAGATTTCACAATAACTGGATCTCCTTCATTTTGACTAACATTGTGATGTACTGGGCCATAAATTAAATCATTAAGCGGCTCCTCATAATCGTTTAGCTTAAAACGAATACAATACGGTGTCGATTTAGCTAAATGCTCATCAATCTGGTCTTGTGTAAGATGACGACATTTATTATCATATTTTGGTACTTGTCTAGTACGTAAAGCCTCCTTTCGCAGCAAATCCAATCTTCGTTCTGTACAAAAACAACGATAAGCCGAACCATTGTCAAGCAAAACTTGAACATGGTCTCTAAAAAAAGAAAATGTGTTTTAAAACAGAAGATCCCCCAATAAAAACATCAATCTTACAAATATATTTTGGTACGTTGACTTTGTATATAAGGGCCATAGTTACCCGGCGCCTTTGAACCGGGTCCTTCATCAATTTCTATGCCAGACCATTGCAAATCTTCGATTAAACGTTCCATGGCTCCAGGCACGAGACGTGTTTGATCTGTATCCTCAATCCGCAACAGGAAACGGCCATTGTTATGCTTGGCATACAAATAATTATACAAAGCAGTTCGAAGTCCTCCCAAATGCAAATATCCTGCAGAAAAAATGTAAAATGTTAAATCACATAACAGAAAAACAATCATGCCCGCAAGAACATACCAGTTGGACTAGGTGCAAATCGTACTCTTACTTCTGTAGAGTTATATCTTTGAATGAATATTTGAGTTGCATAATTTAAAAATTTCGATCTTTTAAGTAATAACATTGGTGAAAACTATACACCGGCTTCAAACGATTCCTACAAAATATTAAAAATTTAAACAAAAACAAAAATCGCATTGAATCATATGTACGTAACAGCTGATTGACTGTCCATTCACAATAGAAACACATTGACCAAGGTTAATGATATGTTTACACCAAATGTGAATGTAATTGGATATGACATTTAATTCATGCCATGGTGTAATATTTGTACAAAACGTAAACAAACATACAGACCATCAGAGATGGCCTGTCAGAAAAAGTGACGTAAATGACATACATTTCCGACGTATAATACATACGTCAGAAACGTCGGAAACCTACCCAAAACCATTAAGTTTTTGACAAAATAGCTATTTCCATTAATCAATTTGGAAATTACGCATGCTTTACTCAAATCCATATAAAATTTCAAAATTTTCTCCTCAAACAAAAAAAAAAATAGAAATTTTTATCAGTTCTAGTAAGGAATAGTCAGATACATGTAAAAATAATATATATTCTTGAAAATAATACCATGTTCTGACGAGCATTCGAACAACGTAGTTCGCTCTCAGAATTACGTACATGAATTAACCCGTTCATACAACACTATTCATAATTCATGTCATCAGAGTTTTTTATTTCAAACTTTCTGTTTCTTGTTTTACAACAAAAATGTAACATGCTTTAGTGAATTACACAGGGATCTAAAGAGAAAAGATAATTCTCTTTCTCCTGACTATAGTATGAACCCATATCTATTTACTTTTCATTAATGTTTTCCATTTTTTTTCTGTAATATTGTTGTTTTCATACATTTTTATATTTTCTCAATTCAAATGTCACATACTGTCGCATATAAAAATTTGGAGAATTTTTTGTTTGAGTTGCCCCACATTTGTTTCTTGTTTTGTACGCTAATTAGAACCAAGGGAAAAGAAATGCATATTGCATTATGTAGATAACAAAATGTACATCCTGCTGCATATATAAAAACTAGACAATTTTTTACTTTTCATTCATCATTTGTAATTTTACTGAAAAAGTTTGAAAATTTTATAGATATTTTCATGCTGTCAAAATTAATTTATTTTCGATAAATACTCTCAATTGTTAGGGATGGGACACATTTCTTGGTTATTCAGAGAGTGATTTGAATTGAACAACGTACAAAAGTCGGTGTTCGCTCAGACAATTTTGTATGGGGAACTAAGTAATTACTTCATAATTAAGGGTCGAACAACGAATGAGAGAGCGAACAACGCTCGTCTGTACATGGCATAACTGTATATGCTGATAATATTGATACAAATGACGTTTACTACATTTATTACATTTTATACAAGTATATGACGTTTTCGGCGTTTACAACTTTTTGACAGTCGAAAACCTAAAAATTCGTCACACGGACCATACCTGCAGACCATGTACTTCAGTACTTTTTAATAGTAAATCTAGTAAAAGAGAAACATTTCAAAATCGCTCTCAGAGTACAAAATAATTTGAAAAGATCGGGAACGCAAATCTAGTAAATATAGCAAAATTATATGGCAATACTTCAAAATCAACATAACAGCCAATCAGAAATAGGCATTCCTGTCTACTTTTTACCATTAATTACAAAATTTAAAGGTTTAATTACATTTAATTCCAAAATTTTTGTTTTTTGTCGTTTAGCTTTAGCATGTTTATTTTTAGCCATTTATTCATATTTCCAATGTAGTAAGCTAGATTGTCGTGACATTCTTCATCTGAATCTCCTTCTGGGTATATCAAAGTGTCATGAGCGTATAGGACTATTTCACTATTTTTCAGGATATTCGGCATATCATTTATGTAAATTAAAATAGCACCCAGGATCGATCCTTGGGGCCCACCATAATCGTTGTGGTTAGGTCTAGATATTATTCCATTTACTTTCGTAACCTGTGTTCTTGCGGATAGATATGATTTAAACCACTCTAGTTCGACATTCCGCACTCCAATAGCGTAAAGTTTATTTAATAGGATATTTTTGTCCACCATTTCAAATGCACGTTTGAAGTCTAGACATTTAGCCAATAATTTTTTTATTTTTACCAAATACGTTTCCAACGATAGTTAAATATTGTTTCGCACGAACAGTTTTTTCCAAATCCGGATTGAAATTTTTATAATAGATTATTTTGTTTTAGGTCATGGGATAATTACAGAAGGTAGTCTCTTTTTTTCGACGTTCCCACGCCTCTCATTCCCACCCCTGCCGACCGAGGGGGCGACTAATATTAGATTTTATTTGTTCTACGCTCAAGCAAAAATCTACATTAGAGTATACAGAGTTAAAGTCAATACACATTTTACTAAGAGGATCTCCCATAGAGTAATTCGTGCGGTGGAAGTCTACATATAACAGTTGATAGTGTCTACTAGATCGGACAGGAACATTTATTCTAATAGAACAAAATTAGGAAATCCGAAGGTATATTATCATTTAATATTTTTAGTACCATCATAGTATTCAACATAATACGTCTACTTTTCAATGTAGGCAAACGAATTAATTTTAACCTTCTAGCATAAGATGGCAACAGAAAACTACTATTCCAATGTAATCCTCTCAGTGCAAAAAGTAAAAATTGTTTCTGCACGGATTCGATTTTATCGGAATATATTGCATATTGGGGATCCCATTCAACAGAACCATATTCTAAAATAGGTCTAACAAGAGACGTAAATAGTTGTTTCGTTATATATGGATCCAAGAATTCTTTGGCCCACCGTTTTATAAATCCTAAGACACCATAGGCTTTATTTACCATAGATATAACATGATTGTTAAAATTTAATTTTGGATCCATTAGAATACCAAGATCAACGAAAGAATCCACAGTTGATAAAACCGAACCATTAATATAGTAATGTCTTATCGAGAAAGAATTTCTAGAAAAACACATATGTTTACATTTATATAAATTCAAGTCCATACAATTTAGGCTGCACCATCGAAATAGGCTATTTAAATCATGCTGGAGTAAATCAGCTTGCTTTTCAGAATGATGGGTAATGAACAACTTGACATCGTCTGCATACATTAACAATTTGGAATGCGATACAGAATTTGGCAAATCATTTACAAACAATAGAAACAGAATCGGACCTAGGTGACTTCCTTGCGGAACACCTGATGGAACATTAATCGATTTTGAAAGACATCCCTCAAACAAAACTAGCTGTGTACTATTTTGTAAGTACGATGAAATCCAATTTACCAAATTTATGCTAAAGCCAATATGATTTAATTTATAAAGTAGAAGTTTATGGTTAACCCTATCAAAAGCTTTACTAAAGTCTGTATAAATTGTATCAGTTTGTTTACGCTGAACAAATCCATTTATCACAGTAGAAGTAAAGTGTATAAGATTGGTAATAGTTGAAAGACCACTACGAAAACCATGTTGATATGGACTTAACAAGGGTTGAATTCTGTGTGAAATAACGGTCTTAATTAACTTTTCGAACAATTTTGGAATAGCACTTAATTTTGCAATTCCTCTATAATTCGAGACATTTGTTAGACTACCAGACTTGTGTAAGGGTATTATATAAGACTTCTTCCAACAAGTAGGAACATATCCATATTTAACACTAGAAAGACGGGAATTTTTTATATACCTATAATGACTTCATTCTGAAAGAATTTTTATTGTGTAAAGAATATTTTTTAAACTTATTTTTTAATATTTTTTACATTATTTACAATCATACAAAACGATGTTATTATTTGTTTTTGGTGGTAGGGCTCTCGAGTTTCCCCTTTTGAAAAATAAGAGCGCGGACAAAATGTTCGAAAAATAGGAAGTCTTTACTCTAAGAGTGAAATCGACTGGATATATAAAATTTATTTTTCCCGATTTGTATGTACGTTTGTGTTTCTAGAGTGGCAAACGGGTTTCGATGTTGTTGTACTGATCTGGTCATATAAGAAATGTACTTTATACAATAATAAACATAGTTTGATTATTTAATATTTCACAAAAGGTCAAAATGACCGCTTTTAGGCGATATAGGTATAGCACATGTGAATATGGGGAATGAAAGAGGGGAGGAAGAAGCTACTGTGATTAATAAACGTAGTTCTATGTGGTACAAAAAGTCACCAAATTTTAAAAAGCTGGGTCATAATATACACAATTGTTTTTGTACTTGAAATTGAAAAACGGTCAAAATGACTGCCTTCGGCAATCTAGTGTTAAGGGAATAATTATATACAGTATTTTTCGGTTAATTGCACATCAAAATTTGCACAAATTTTCGTTCAATTAACCGAGGAACCAATTATCCGAACCCGCTTAATTGAATAGTTTGTTCAATTACAGTAATCACGTATAATTGGAAGTACTAATGATTTAAAAAAAAAATTCAATGTCAAATACAAATTACGCTTTCTCGAAGTTTTTCCTTAGCAATAAACTTATGTTTTTAATTAGTAGAGATGCCACCTAGACTTTTTCACAAATTATGTCAAATATGTATGTAAAAAAATGACAAAATGAATGATTATTATGCAATTAACCGGAGTAAAAGGAAATTTAATTTTAATGGCATGCATTTTGAATCAATTAAGCGGGGAAATCAATTAACAGGGTTTAATTATCCGAGAAAATTTACATGTATTTTCCTATGAAATACTTTTTGCCCCATCATGTGGTTCAATTAAGCGTGGAATCTAATTAACCGTAGGGTCAATTAACCGAAAAATACTGTATTTGTAAATATAAATGGTTTAGCAATTTATCCCACTGAAGGGAGGAAGATATTTTAATTTAAATTTTGAAAATTGAATGCTTTCAAAGGCCAATTTCATGGTATAATAATAGAAGTAACAGCAAATGTTGTTGTACAACAAACGATACAACAACCACATGGAAATTTGTTGTAAGTTTTACTAGTGTCAACATCACATTGACAGAAAAATGTAAAC